AAGCTAATAAAACTACGAAAAGGCACTCCGATATTCATTACAGAATATAAAAATCAAAAAATTGGCTGAAAAAGAAAATCACTCTAGCGTTAGCTGCATTGAATCCAAACAGAGGACATAAAGAGTAATTGATAAATAGAGGGTTTGATAGTTACAAAGCAGAAAAGAGGGTTTGCATTCCCGTATTAAGTGACAATACGAAACTCTAACGTGAAAAGTTCTGAAGGAAGTTATAAAAAGGGGTTTCCTCCCCTTGCCTACCTCCCCCGCCTTTTCCTTACCCTGTCCCTACACCCAACCTACCCCTTTCTCACACGGTAAACAAAAAACTCTGAATCTGAGGCGTGAAAAAAGGTGAAATTTTAATTTTTGAGGCAGGAAATAGACTTTTAAGGCATCCTCTCGATTGCGAGCATCTAAAGCCTGGTTTAGAGCCGCTCTGCTCTGATTCCGAGGTAATGAGCTCGTAATCCGAGAATCGTGTCTCGAAATCCGGGAATCGTTTCTCGGAAACGGGTAAAAGGTAACTCGGTTTTAGAGACACGTTTACCCGATTTCGAGATCGTTAGCTCGGAATTAGGACAACGTCGGAAATCGAAGAGAAGGGAGTGCAGGTTAAGCAAGTACTCACCGAACCACAAGAGCAGTTGGATGTTAACCATGAGAAGACTGCTGGAGATTTCTAACGCTGTCCACTTGGTCACACGTGGATTGCCTTGGATTTTCTGGAGTTGCATTCACTGCTCTGACCTGAAAAGATGTTAAAAAATGAATTAGTACACAGAAAATTAGCTCGTTATTGGTAATATGAAAATGATGATACGACAGGAGGGCAACGTGTATCAACAACACACCAGACAATGTGGGACTCCAAATAGGGTGGGTACCTATTAATGCACACAGTAGGCCACACATGAGAAAGAACGAAGACCACGGTCATGGGGGCCAAGTGTATGCATGTCACACACTTGTAGGTGTGCGAATGTTCTCCCATCATAATGCACCCACAAGTCAACGAGCTACAAACAAAAAAGTGTGCAAGTATACGACATTGATGCACATGGGTTAGCAGTGAGGTCAGCCCCCTGCCAACAACCTCATTCTATTCCCGTCGCATCCCCTTACCCCTTCCCCTTCCGTCAGAAATTCCTCACAATATAAGACACGACCGCCAGAATCAAGTCTAAGACAATGTGATAAAAGTACCTCAACAGAAAAAGTATAACCTACGGGGATACATTTAATTTGGCCCTACTTCCTCTCGTCCCATCCCCTTACGCCTACCTGCCCAACCACCCCCTCCCAAAACCTAATCCGCCGTAGCCAGGAAACCTTATGGGTCCAACAGAGGTACGAATTTAACGTAGTGCGATAAAAGTTCCCCATCAGAGAAAAAATTTATGGGTATACATTTATCCTGGTCTACCAAACACCACCGTGAGTGAAACCCTCTCTCGAGCTTCATTACAAATCAAACCCATATTTAACCACGTGACTAATATGGAGTGCACTGGTTGATGATATGAGGTAGCAACACATCAAAAAAAAAATTACAATATGGCAATAAAAAGATAATGAGAAATCAGCCCCGCTAAGTAACTCGAAAATTAACGATGAAGGCAAGGTGAGCTACCACAGTAAGGGGGCAGCAGTCACAGGACATCGCATGTGCAAGCTCGACTTCAGAGAAAGAGCTGCAGCGACGCACAGAGAGAGCGAACTCTTCACAGCGGTGCAAACACTGCCCACAAACTAAAGCGACTCGGCTCACTGAAATAACTCACCAAACCCCCCTTTTTGAAGCTAATAAAACTACGAAAAGGCACTCCGATATTCATTATAGGATATGTAAATCAAAAAATTCGCTAAAAAAGGAAATAACTCTAGCGTGAGCTGCATTAAATCCCAACAGTGGACAAAAAGAGTAATTGATAAATAAAGGGTTTGATAGTTACTAAGCAGAAAAGAGGGTTTGCACTGCCGGAATAAATGACAATACGATACTCTAACGTGACACGTTCTGAAGGAAGTTTAAGTGATTTTTTTCCCCTGGCCTACCTCGCCCGCCTTCTCCTAACCCCGTTCCTACACCCAACCTACCCCTCTCTCAGGCAGTGTCCTTGTTACATCAACCCCTTCGAACTTAGCGCTCTAAATACTGAACAACACAGGGGCTAGGGGGTGGCAGTCCCCGTGCACATGAATCAAACATTAATCAAGGGACAAATGCATTCCGCCCCCCCTTCCCTTCTCCCTCCTAAATCCCCTCATACTTTCGCCGTCAAACTAAGTGCTCGAAACGTCAAACCCCAACTACACAACGTCAAGAAATCGCGGTTCACTATGATACTTCTGATATTAAGACACTGTGAAAAATATTGGTAAAAATCTCGGGAACAGTTTCCATTATGGGTGTTGTAAAATTACAATTTTCTAAAATAAGAAGTGCTCTGTATCGACTTGGAATTCGTCAAAAAACAAAAATAGACAGTGGTAAGTTTAGACCATACTTTGTAAATAAAAAATACAAAATACGTTAAGAGATTACAAAAATATTTTTCACAGTGGACCTCCAATCAAAATTGAATACTACGAAGAGCAAAAGGGAGAAGGGAGTGCAGGTTAAGCAAGTACTTACCGAACCACAAGAGCAGTTGGATGTTAACCATGAGAAGACTGCTGAAAATTTCTAACGCTGGCCACTTGGTCCCACGTGGATTGCCTTGGATTTTCTGGAGTTGCATTCACCGCTCTGACCCGGAAAGATATTAAAAAATGAATTAGTGCACAGAAAATTAGCTCGATATTGGTAATATGAAAATGATGATACGACAGGTGGGCGACGTGTATCAACAACACACCAGACAATGTGGGACTCCAAATAGGGTGGGTACCTATTAATGCACGCAGTAGGCCACACATAAGAAAGAACTAAGACTACGGTCTTGGAAGGCAACCCTCCCAGAGTTTGAACTCCAGGATTAAATAAAAATACAAAACTATAACGTGACAAGTTCTAATTTAATTTAAAGGGCTTTCTTCCCCTGGTCTATCTCCCCCACATCCTCCTACCCCTGCCCCTACACCCAACCTACCCCTATCTCACCCACTGTCCTTGTTACATCAACCCCTTCGAACTTAGCGCTCTAAACACCAAACACAAGAGGGGCCAGAGGGTTGCAGTCCCCGTGCACATGAATCACACATTAATTGAAGGGACAAATGCCTGTTCCCCCCACCCTGCTCTGTGATGAGGCGAGTACCATCCTGATGCACACAATAGGCCACGCAGGAGAATGAACAAAGACCACGATCATTGAAACCAAGTGCATGAATGTCACACATTTGTAGGTGTGCGAATGTTCTCCCACCATTATGAACACACAAGTCCACGAGTTACAAACAGAAAAGTATACAAGTTTACGACATTCATACCCATGGGTTAACAGTGAGATCAGCCCCCTCCCAAAAACCCCATTTCATTCTCTTACCATCCCCTTACCCCTTCCGTCAGAAATTCATCAGAATATCAGACACGTCGCAGAAAATGTTACCTACGGGGATACATTTATCCTGGTCTTCCTAACACTACCGTGAGTGAAACCCAAATACGTTGTTAAAAGTTTACTTAGATATCCGGCTGCATTTACCACACAGTTTAAGTATCCAGATCGTGCTTCAAGGAAAACCCTTGAATACCAAACAAAAATTCCAAGGATTTTCCTTGGAAGCGACGGGTTTCGAGGTAGAGTCTGCGATTTCAAGGGCCAATCTTGAAATTATCCACCCGACCTTGAAATCCTAGAAATTTTCTGGGATTTCAAGACATTCTTTTTGCCGTGCGGAGGGCAAAATGGGCTGTCGTAAATTAACTTGATATTGGGGAAAACGTACTTCTCAAACTTGTCGAAAAACTTCACCTCACATGTCGCAAAGGGACTATGAAAATGGATACAGAAAGAGTGTATGCTTCTACAGTTTCCCAAATTTATAAATTCCTAGGATACGAAATTTAACTGCTCGGGAATGCGAAAAACACTCCGAGTAATTTTTCAAAAAGAAAGCAAAAAAAATCAATCAAAATTCATTAATTTAATATTATTTTGAGAAATTCCTTCGTACAGTGGTTAGGTAAATATCCGAAGTGGATACGAGAAATGAATTTGCGACTTCAAAGAAAATCTAATATTTGAAAAATAAATACATTTTGAGACCTGTAGTTTCCGATTTTTAAAAAAGGCAATTTTTGAGCTGGAATGCTCATCTTCGAACTCGATCTGTCTTTTTATGATACAAAACGATCCTGAAATTCCCAGATCGCTCTCTCAATTCTTTCTCGAGTTATCGTGCGGACAGACAGACAAACAGACAAACATAATGAAACTTTTCGGGTCAGTGGAGTAATTGGCTTCGCTAAACGCTCAGCCAATCACTCGAATCTTTTTGAAAAATCCCATTTTGATAATGCTACGTGACTTCAGCCTCCTACACCCCTCCTGACCAATCGTAGTCCTTTGCCGAACCCCTGCCCCCCACCCACATATAAAATTGGTCACGTTGTATGGGTACGGTCCCTTATCATGGAATTACTCTTTTACTTTATTTAGTACGGTTTAGGTTCAAAATCAGTCAACTACTGTAAATTTTCAGGGGGTGTTCATGGTTCCCCTGGGGGTGTTCAAGTAGCTCCGCATATGGGGTACCCTGACCCTTTGCAGTGCTGAACTATTTCTCACAATACAACAAAAAACGAGATGCGCGGTGGCGGAATGGGGCTTTAACTTAAGTAGAGGAAGGTTGGGGCTACAGTAAGGGCGAATGTCGAAGTCCCTACATCATCGGGTCTGTCCTCTATGGCCCAAATGCAAAATCCTGGTCAAGTAGCCCCGGTCTCCCTTACCTATGAAGGTTCATTTGCACTACTTTACACCGTAATTGCAGAACTGTTTCCTATGACGATTTGTTTAATAGACGGTTCCGGCAGTGCCCGGTTACAGAAGAATTAAGGAAATCACCACCGGAAACAGTTCTAAAATACAGGTTAAAACCAATGCAAATGAACCTTGACAGTCACTAGGGAGGAACTTGAATTCATTTGCGTCGATCCGCACTGTCAAATAAGAAAAATAGGGAAAATAAAGTACTGGTTCCGGTACCGAATTCATTACTTCTTCACGAAACGCGCACAGCCGGAACCGTCTATTCTTCTTGAAATGATCACAGCGGGCAACGTCTATAGGGACCTCCATAAACCTAGCCGGCGCAAACCAGCCCATAAACCTAGCCGGCGCAAACCAGCCGGATCGAGAAAAAAGTTGCTAATCGTTTGTTAAACGTTAGTATAGTTATGTTAAGGCATTGGTTTCGTTTGTGTAAGTACCGTTCACTTTTTTTAAAAATTCGTTCTGCGCCGGCTAGATTCACATCCTGCGCAAGTCGGCAAACATGAGTGAACAAAACACAAGAGAAGGTCAGGTCGATTCCTTTTCGTTTGTTAAAGTTTGTTAAGCCCATAAAATTTCAAAAATGTCAATAC